ATTTCGTGGACATTGGTTATGTAGTTCAATGTCCACGTTTTGTGGACATAGAGGCGCTGAAACCAGCTCAATCGCCCGTCCCAGCTAAATCGCGGGCATGGCCGCTCTCAGGATCCTCTCTGGTATGGTATACACAATTAACATAATTGAAGTCATGCAAAACACGGCACTTTAATACATTCTTTATACGTTTGTGTTAAGATGTGTTAAATAATTGGAAAATACTACGAATATAAGATTTGGCAGAGATAGAGAGAGAGAGAGAGAGAGAGAGAGAGAGAGAGAAAGAAAAGAAGATTAACTAAATATTTGGTAATTATTTATAACCTTCTCAATTGTTTGTAATTTTAGCTCTCCTCAACTTCAATATTGAAATTATGTTCATTCGACGCGTTTTTGTGCGAAATGAAAGAATCTAATAGAAAAAAAGTCGCACTTCCGCATAAAGCGACATATTAATCATTAATGTTGACTGTTTAGGTTAGAAAATATAAATGTGTCAAATAAGTATAATTTTATCGATATTGAAGATAACGAAGACTAAACTAAATAATTACAAAAGAAATTTATTAATATAGTTAACAAATTTAAATTTATAAAGAATGTTATTTTTTCAGAGTATATAATTTTATGGTATATTAACATATCAATATATAATGTGTATTGTTCTACTATGCTTACTTATTTATGCTTTTTGTTTTTTAATTTTATATTTTTATAATTTAGCTTAAAAGTTAATTATAGGTGACATGATTAATTGTAGGTGAAGCAACCAAAATAAAAGGATGGCAAGTACAGCTGAGAAAAAATCTGAAGTGAACTTACTACCATGCACCTTCAAATTTCACAATTTTGTTGCTAAAATCAGTGATATTAATATTAATTGTCAAGTAATAAAGATGGAAGATTGCTTGTATCTGTGGATTGGGGATTTCACTAATGGCAGCATGGGAGATCTATCCTTTGCTCTCACATCAAATCTTGAGAGACAGCCCATTTCGACCAAGATCATGGGTTCGTTTTCGGATGCAACATCCATGAATATGGCTAAGAGATTAAGCATGAAGTTTGGAAAACCAATATATGTTAGTTTTAATATAACTCCAAATAATATAACATTGCCAGGAATCGAAAGAAGAATCCAAGAGGAGTTCAAAACACATGCAGATCTATTAAGTTTTTGACTTTGATATTATTGATAAAAAGAAACTCTTGAAATATTTATTTGAATATAATTTTGTATACTGTACCTTTAATACTTGAAGTTATTTAATACTACTATTAATATGTAGAAATTTTGGATACGGAGGGTAATATGTTCACTATATTTATATGTGAAAACAAACTAGCAATTACTAGTTTATTAATAAAAAAAATAATCAAATACAATTTTTTATATTGATACTTTTAATTTTGTGAACGCATTGAGAGTGAATGAAATGTTAACGTGCAAGGGAGCAGATATATATATATTAAAAATATATACAAGGTGTTTCCGTATAAGTGGCCACCCCTTTTTATCTCGTAAACTAATAGAGATAGACCTAATAAATATATTAAATTAAACAGCTCTGACTAAATCTTATTGTAAGCATGCAGTGATCACTTAGAAATATTATCTGTTAGAGAGCGGAAAGACATGAACACATTAATTTTTGCATGGTAACGTGACAATTTTAATATAAAAGTTGTAGCGTTCTTTTTAACGAATACAACGATGTATGATATAACGAAATTATTTTACGAATTATAAGAGTTATTTTAGTTTAAAATTAGATCGGAAGAGCACACGTCTGAACTCC